GCCGTCACCTCCAAAGGCTTCCGCAAAATAATAATAATAAAAAGAAAGGAATAATACCTTGTTTTGGTTACAGAAATGCTTTTTCCTCTTTCAAAGACGAGAGCCAAAGCGAGCGGCTCCGTCACGGCCTCGCGGCCCGAGGGGGACGCGGCGGCCGCCCCGGCCCCGTCTTTGGCTTTCAACAGGCTCCTGATATGCTGAGAGGCTCTTGGTTTTCTTGCCCGTGATACTGCTACAGTAATCCAGGAAAACAAAAATACAGTGCAACATTCTTGAATGCTTCAAACCTGCATTATAAATATGATCCTTAAAATTAAAAAAAAATAGAGAACACTGATCCCACATACACACACGCTAATAAAACTTGCCAAGATGCTGCAGTAGAAAAATAAACACAGACTGATTTAGGGTTGTGAATAAGGACTTCGAAGTGCATTTTTTTCCTTATTAAAAGGCTAAAAGGTTTGGATTTTTTTTTGTCTTTTTTTTTAAGGTAAATGCTCATTTCTTTATAAATATCTTTTTTAAAAAAAAAAAAAGAAAAAAAAGCAACACTGACTCTTGCATGGAAACGGCCACGCAACAAGAGAACAAGAGGTCACGAGAAGAGTCGTTCCGTAGGATCCAACGTTTTGCCAAGAGAGAAAGGAAGAAGCCAGGAGAATCCCTAAAGTGCCTGGAGCCGGGAGGTTGCAGCCGCGCGGCCGGGCTCGCCGCGACTTCCCCGTCCGGCTGGACGGGCCACGGGGAGCGCGGGGAGAGCGGGGGAGCGTGGGGATAACAGGGAGCGAGGGGGGATAACAGGGAGCGAGGGGGGATAACAGGGAACACAGGGAGAGCGGGGGAGCGTGGGGATAACAGGGAGCGAGGGGGGATAACAGGGAGCGAGGGGGGATAACAGGGAACACGGGGAGCGCGGAGAGAGTGGAAAGAGCGAGGAGAGTGTGGGAAGCGCAGGGAGTGTGTGGGGATAACGGAGCACAGGGAGCGCGGGGAACGCAGGGACAGCGGGAAGAGTGGGGACAATCGGGAGTGTGGGGGGAGCGTGGGGATAACAGGGAGCGAGGGGGGATAACAGGGAGCGAGGGGGGATAACAGGGAACACGGGGAGCGCGGAGAGAGTGGAAAGAGCGAGGAGAGTGTGGGAAGCGCAGGGAGTGTGTGGGGATAACAGAGCACAGGGAGCGCGGGGAACGCAGGGACAGCGGGAAGAGTGGGGACAATCGGGAGTGTGGGAAACGTGTGGGGATAACAGGGAGCGAGGGGGGATAACAGGGAGCGCAGGGAGCACAGTGAGAGTGCGGGAAGCGCAGGGAGCGTGCAGGGATAAAAGGGAGAGCGCAGGGAGAACATGGGGAGCACAGGGAGAACATGGGGAGCGCACGGGCAGCGGGGACGCCCCGGGGCTGCAGGTGGGTCCTTTTTTAGGTTTGTCTCCAGCCCTGCAGCCAGTGAACGCAGGACAGCGGGGCAAGAGCGCGCAGGAGCGAGCGGGGCCGGAGCGAGCGGGATTGGAGGGAGCGGGGTGGGAGCGAGTGGGAAGGGAGTGAGTGGGGAGGGAGCAAGCGGGGCTGGAGGAAGTGGGGAGGGAGCGAGCGGGAGCGAGTGGGATCCCAGGAAGCGGGACCGGAGCACGCGGGGAGGGAGCAAGGCCAGAGCGAGCGGGATCGGAGCGAGCAGGATCGGAGCAAGTGGGGAGGGAGCCAGCGGAATTGGAAGCGCGCGGGATCGGAGCGCACGGGATCACGGCCGTGAGGGCCCTGCCGGGTGGCGATCGGAGTGCGTGGGGCCGCGGCCGGCCGCGCTCCCTGCTCTCCCGGCCTCGGGAAGCAGATTCGTGCCGCCCGGGCAGCCGGGCGGGAAGGGGAAGCTCTGAACTCCCGGCCTGTGGGGCCGCTCTGGAAGGGCCGCCCAGTCTTGTTCTCCTTTAAAGTGCCCTATATTTATAGAATTTCTAAATAAATATAATAAGATATTAGGTCACCCATCGCTTGCGCTACTCCGAGTAACAGCCGTCCAGGCCGATGGCGCCGTGCCGCTCCTTGCCGTAGGGGCAGCTGCCGCCGTTGGGCAGGGGGCCGCAGGGCGGCCGTCTTGGCCGCGATGCCGCAGTTCTTGAGGAGGTTGAAGCTGAACGAGCTGATGGCGTCTTTAGGCGGGAAAGGCTTCATGGTGGAGAGGATAAGTGCCAGGCAGTCGGCAACGTCCTTGTTGGGGGCGCAGGCCAAGGCGGGGGTGTGACCTGCGGCGGGGACGGCCGTGAGGGCCCTGCCGGGTGGCCAAACCCCTCCAGCAGGGACGGGGACGAGGCCCTCGCGGCGCCGCCGCTTCCCGCTCGGACGCGGGTGGCAAAGGCTGCCCCGGGGCTGGACCCGCTCCTGCACCCCGGATCCAACCGCTTCGCCCGGGGCAATTCTCGTTTTTGGGAGTGGAGGGGCCAGGGCCTCACTTTGGCTTTATCGCCAAGGCCCCTGCGTGGGAACCCTTGCAGTTCCCGCAAGCGCTCCGGAGCGCGCCCAGAGCCAGGCCAAGGAGCCTCCGGAGCCCCCACTGTGCAGCACGTGCAAGGACATATTTCCCAACTTAAAGGTATTGGAGCAGAACCAAAGCTCTGCCGGGAGAACAAGCTGCTGGTGCCACCGACCTGCAGGCGAGGCAGGAGAGTGGCCA